GCTGTCTCAGTGCTATGATGCACTCTAAATCCTGACTGAAATTCCTCAAATAAATTATTATCCTGGAGAAAATCACACAGCTGGTCTGCGACTACTTTCTCAAGGATCTTTGACATAAAGGGAAGATTAGATATTGGTCTATAGTTGGCTAACACCTCTGGATCCAGGGTGGGCTTTTTTAGGAGAGGTTTAATTACAGCTACCTTAAAAGACTGTGGTACATAGCCTGTTAATAAGGATATATTGATCATATCTAATATAAGAGTGTTAACTAAAGGAAAGGAAAGACCTCCTTAAGTAGCCTAGTTGGGATGGGGTCTAAGAGACACGTTGATGATTTAGATGAAGAACTGAAACTCTGCTTCAACCTCTTTTAAACTTTTGAGGACACCCACAGCAGAAGGATGACCTCATTAGGAAAGATCCCACTGATTGATGCTCATGTTTAATTAAAGTTAGCAAAACAGTTAAACATTACAGAGAGCCTGTTGTTTACAATTTTTGATTTTTTCCCCTCATTAAAAATAACTACCAGAACTAATGTTGGCACTGTCTGCAAGCTATTGATATGTTCAAACTTGAGATTTCTCTTTTTGTTGTGAGAACATTGTGGTTGTTTATGCACAAACACTGGGTTAGAATTAGAAAATAATCTGTGGAGACAGTGTCTGCCTCTAGGACCAAAACTGAAAGATCGACCCTTTTTCCCATAGTTTAAGATATATCCTGAAATTTAGATTCTTTTTGAAAACCTTCACGCATTTGTTTATACTTGGTGAATGCAAGAAGGAGTAGTGGACCACCACCACCATTGATATTCTGGATCAATTTTTGTCCAAGAGGCAGACACTGTCTCCACAGTTAAGAGTACACTAGCTTGCAGACAGTGCCAACATTAGGGGCTGGTTCAGGCTAGTCTTGAACCAGCCCCTAGTTAGGCTGATGTAGGCCTTGTCCGCTGGGGGGCTTCATATGATACACTGAACTCCTTTGTCCCTCTCCCTGTCTTCATCTGCTAACATTCACATTCTATTACTGCATCTTGCTAACTCGGCCATTCTGGATGTCACTAACTCGGCTTCTTCTCCGGAGCCTTTGTGCTCCACTGTCTCTCAGATTAACTCATATCGCAGCGGTGCCTGGATAGTGTGATGTGTGGTTGTGCTGCTGCCGTGGTCCTGCCAGATGCCTCCTGCTGCTGCTGCCATCATTAGTCATTAGTCATACTTCTACTGTTATTATACACATATGATTATTGTCACATATGTATACTATCAGATATTATACCATGGTCTGGGTGAATACTCAGTTTTGATTAGCTGCAGGGTGCTCTTTAAAAAATTATCATGGACACCTAATCAGGCATTACTTCTCACTGAATGTTTACATACCACTATAAATCAAGTGTTTTATTATTAGTAGTATTATTTGTATTATAATTATACACTCACATTGTACTATTATTAATAATCATATTTCATATTTATATTATTGTTGTTATAGTCATTATTGTTATTTAAGTTGTTGCTGTGCATCTCTTCCTCCATCTCTGTGTGAAAGAAGGTTGCCAAACATTATTATGAGTCCACAGAGACCTGTCCTTCTCAGGCGATTGATAACCTTGTGATCTGTGTGTTTGACTGATTTATGATGGAGTTCTGACTTCTGTATCAAACTGCAGCATTTGCATCATTATTATCTAAAATAATTGATTTTGACTAAAGGCTGGACAGTGATCAATACCTACTTTAGGACTATCACTCTGACTCAAAATGTCTTACACATGTTGTTTGTTGATCACAATCTATTCTGCTTTTAAATACATTTCACTCTTTTCTTAATCTGTTTCTGTACAGATTTATCATTGGGATTGTGAACATCAAAAGCAAAACATTTCAAATCAAAGTATTAGTTCATATACTTTATTTTTCATTTTATAATAAAATGAACGTGTCTAAATAAGCATACTACAGGTCTGGTTACATCAGAGATGACGTGCTGATCTGTTTGACAACTTAACCTTGACGGAGAATATTTGCAATCAGATGTTTACATGTGACACGGATTTTGGACAGATTCAGGCCGTACATTAAAGGATTGAAGAGTGGAGGGCAAGTGAAAAAGTATAAGGATAAAAAGATGCGCAACATGTTGGGCACACCGCTCATATCAAACCTGCTCTGTAATATTTCAAAACTCGCTCCAACAGAGAAGTTCAGGAGGGAAGCAAGGTGAGGTGTGCAGGTACTGACAGCTTTCTGTCTGGTCTGTTTAGAACCCAAAAGACAAACTTTAAGGATCTTTATATACGTGTAACAGATTAAAATTAAAGCACCAAAGATTGTACCAAAAGTAGTTATTAGTCCATAAATATTAATGACATTGGTGTCAAAGCATGCCAGCTTCACAACAGAGTAGTTGATACAGTAAACTTTGTTTATGATGTTCCCACACAGCTGTAAAGAGGAAGTCATAAATGTCATGCAAATGCACACTATCAAAGGGTTTAACCATGTTAACGCAATAAGCACGGCAATCTTATGAGATGTCATTTGCATATTATATTGTAGAGGATAACAGATAGCAAGATATCTGTCATAAGACATGACGGCTAAGTTTAAATATTCTACACCTCCATAAGAGTACAAGCAAAATGTCTGTAGTAAACAGACTGCAGCAGAAACAGTGTGAATGTCAGAGAGGATCTGACCCAGCAGCAATGGAAACAACCCTGTACTACCATACAGTTCATTTACAAACAGGCTGCACAGAAACATGTACATAGGTTCATGTAAGCTTCTGTTCACACAGATAACCACAATCAGCAGGAGGTTGGCACAGATAATCAACATGTAAAGAAACATTAAAATTACAAAATATAAGTATTTGAGCAGTCCTGTGTCAAAGTAGGCGTCAAGTGTAAAAAACAAACCCTGTGTAGAGTTTATCATGATCCTCTCTTTGATCCTTAGGATCACTACATCTATTCTGTGAACACAGAGCAAAAATTATTGCATTCTCTTAAAGATCTGTGAAAACTTCTTTAAACTTGCATTTTGGCACAATGTGCAGCTGAAATATCAAACACACAAAAACAGAGGTCTGCGTAGTTACACTGAACAGATTCATTATCATAGAGACAACTGTACTGTTGTAAAGCCCTGTGAGGCAAATTGTGATTTGTGATATTGGGCTTTATAAATAAAATTGATTGATTGATTGATTGACTGTAAAATACAACCCAAAACAGACCATTTACTTTTTAAAGTGGTCAGAAATAACACTTTGGATGAGTACATTTGAACATTCACCTGTTAACCTGCTGCAGTCACACTGTGAACCCCTCGTAACTGAACTGAAACTCTGCTTCAACCTCTTTTAAACTTTTGAGGACACCCACAGCAGAAGGATGACCTCATTAGGAAAGATCCCACTGATTGATGCTCATGTTTAATTAAAGTTAGCAAAAAGTTAAACATTACAGAGAGCCTGTTGTTTACAATTTTTGATTTTTCACCCCATGTAGCAAACACAAAGGGCAATTTAACAACCAGAGTTAATGTTGGCACTGTCTGCAAACCACTGATATGTTAGATTCCTTTGTTCCTTCACAGCACACATGTTCACATATCTTTAGATTTCTTTTTATGTTGTGAGAACTGTGGTTAACGCTGTGGTTGTTAATGCACAAACAACACTTGGTTAGGGTAGGAAAATCATCATGATTTGGTTCAGGGTAAGGGGATAGGATTACAATACATAATAATAATAATAAAATACCCAGTTTGGTTGTAACAAACACAGCTGGACATGTCCCAGACTGCCATTAAAAAAAACCACACACTATTGTTGGTCTCCAACCATCTGCAGCTCGTCATGAGCAAAGGTGGAAGGAGCTAATTTTAGACTAAAACTATGGCTCTGACTCCTGAACCCATCCAGAACATCAATGGTGGTGGTGGTCCACTACTCCTTCTTCCATTCACCAAGTATAAACAAATGTGTGAAGGTTTTCAAAAAAAATCTAAATTTCAGGATATATCTTAAACTATGGGAAAAAGGGTTGATCTTTCAATTTTGGTCCTAGAGGCAGACACTGTCTCCACAGTTAAGAGTACACTGAATACTTTTCTCTTTGATAAAGCTTATAGTCAGGGCTGGCTCAGGCTCATCTTGAACCAGCCCCTAGTTAGCCTGATATAGGCCTTGTCTGCCGGGGGACTTCCTAAAATTAAAAACAAATATCTTAAAACCATAATGCACAAATGTATGTAAGTGTGTGATGGCTATATAACATCTCTGTCCCCACTCATCGGCTCTAAACAAGGTAATAAATGCCATCTGTCAGGAGTTCAAAGGTATGAGATGACAGATAATGTGGTAACAGGACCTGTCCTCAGAAACACATTGCACAGGTTCATATATTCAAGTGTAATTGGTGTGTCCCCACCATTGTATTTGTATTTCAGCCTTTATTAAAAAAGCCAAACCTTGATAAAGCTCATCCACAGAACTATAGGCCCATTTCTAAGCTGCCTTTCTTATCAGAAGTTCTTGAAAAGGTGGCACTAACTCAACTCTTATTTGTTAACAATAATAACATCCTTGATAAATTCCAGTCTGCGTATTGCAAACAACATAACACTGAAACTGCTCTCCTAAGGGTCACTAACGATTTACTGATGGGTGCTGATGCTGGGGAATGTTTTATTTTATTGCCTCATGACCTCGGTGCTGTGTTCAACACTGTCAATAAAGTTGGTGTGTGGATATATCTGGAACTGTTCTTAAATAGTTTGAATCATATCTCTCAGATATTTATTTGTTTCCATTTGTAATTTTGTTTCATCTTCAGCTCCAGTGATTTGTGGAGTGCCACAGGGACGTACTCTTGGTCCTATTTTGTTTTCACTTTATATGCTTTAGGACGCATCATCAGTCATGTCAGTGGGGTATCCTACCACTGTTACATCAATGACATGCACATCTACCTGTCTGTTAAGCCAGATAACGTTAGCTGTGTGAGCACTGTAAAAGAGTGCTTCTCCGCTGTTAAGAAATGGATGACCTGTAAATTTCTGCAGCCAAACCCAGACAAGACAGAATGAATAAACTTTGGAACTGATCATCTAGCAAGCAAATGACAACCTTTTATTGGTCCTCCAGCAACCAATATAAAATCTACAGTGAGAAATTTAGGCATCACTTTGATTCTCAATTGAACTTTGAACCACATGTCTATAATCTCATTAAATCCTGCGACTTCCACCTATGAAATATTATCAACATTAAATCAGCTGTGTCTTTCCCTGACCTAGAAAGGCTTCTTCGTGCTTTTGTTTTCTCACACCTTGACTACTGTAACACATTGTTTACATGTTTACATCAGTAAATCTTCAGTAGCAAAGAAAAAAATCGTAGGTCGCATATCACCCTGATCATAGCCTCCCTCCAGTGCCAGTCAACTTCAGAACTGATTTTAAGATTATTTAATAACTTTTAAAGTTCAACATGATTTAGCCCCCAGTTGTATAGCTGAGCTTCTGACTGCATACGCTCCAAGTTGTGACCTGAGATCCTCAAGTCTGCCTTCACTAGTCGCCCCTAGATCAAGGCTGGTAACTAAAGCTGACCATCAAGGCCCCGAGGCTCTGGAATTCTCTGCCTGAAGACATTAGGCTTGCCAGCTCATGACCTTTTTTTAAATCATTGTTTGAAACATATTTCTGTAGGACAGCTTTTCCTTTTATACCTGATTTGTACTTTTGTGATTTGTAACTTTTTTTGTTTTGTTTTGTTTTGTTCTATTTTTGTCTCTGTGCACACTATTTTTCTTTGCTCTTAACATTATTTTAATTATTGCAATTTTATCTTCATGCACTTTGTGAACCACTTTGTAACCTTGTTCATACAAATAAAGTTACTATCATTTATTATCATTATTGGCTCCCAAAAGGCCCGGAAGAAAGAAAGGAAAACTTAAGGCATTTGAAGTATTTATTTTGTAGAACTTTTTACTTTCAAAGGTAACAAATCAATGTATGACACAAACTGTACTTGACACACAAGTCCTGCTGATTAACAAAGGCTTTTGTTTTCCATTCTTCTATCAAATACTGCAAGTCACGTTTCATAATTCTAAATGTTGCTTGTATTTGGAGGGGAAAAAAAACTTTTTCACTTGTACACAACAGGTAATTTTACATGATTCAAATCAGCAAATCTCTGGGATGAATGTTAGTGGTCTACATTTTAAAATGAATCAGATTTTTACATATGATACGAATACTGGACACATTCAGGCCGTATACGACAGGGTTAAAGAGAGGTTGGCATGTGAGCCAGTATAAGGATAAAAATATTCGCACCATATTTGGTACACTGTTCATATTAAACCTGGTCTGATACACTTCAAAGAAAGCCCCAAAGGAGAAGTTGAGCAGAGAGGCGAGGTGAGGTGTGCACGTACTGATGGCTTTCTGTCTCGTGTGTTTAGAACCAGAAAAACAGACTTTAAAGATCTTTGTGTAAGTGTAAAGAATCAAAGATACAGGACAAGAGATTGTGACAAAAGTGGCAATAAGTCCATAAATGTTATTGACTGTTGTGTCAGAGCACGCCAGTTTGACGATGGAGTAGTTGTCACAGTACACTTTGTTAATGATGTTCCCACACAGCTGTAAAGGGACA